ACCCCGATCCTATGGCTTCTCCGCAAGCTCGGGCTGCCACCTCTCATCCAGGACCCTCAAGATCCTCCCTGGCTGCGGGGCCTGTGCCCACCCCTCAACCTTTCAAGAACCTCCTCCCCTAAAGGGCTCTAGCCCCCAGAATTACCCTTCCCTCCTTCACTGATACCCCAATCCCTACTCCATCAGTTCATGACGCTCAGCTGACTGGGTTGGGGTTTACCAAGGATGTTCAGAACTATCACACATGGGATCTCCTCTTATCCTCCTTACAGCCCTCAGGGAAGGTGGTATAACAATCATCCTGGTTTTCCAGATGAGGATAAGTGTCAGAGGGGCTGTAAGTGACTTACAGCTACAAAGTGTCGAGGTCAGGGCTGAAATTCCTGTTTGGAACGGGCTGCATGTTGAGCCCAGGGACGGGGGACTTTTTCTTTTCAGTTTGTTTCCTGACCAAAGGTCAAATACCAAGCTTCCCAGTACAAAGCTGGTCTCCAGGCAACCACAGCTGAACCTACCGTCTCCTTTTCGGAGAATGTGGGACCCTTACAGCGGACCTGGTCATGTGGGTGGGCACGCCCATAAACAGGGGCCAGGTTTGGGAAGCTGAGGTTCAGCGGAATCTAAGATGAACCAGCCTGGATCTGGAATGGGTATGAGAAATTCCCACCCTTGAGTGGAGCCATAGAGTTAGACTGGGGGCCTCAAATGTATCCTTCAGGGCATGACCGTAGTCAAAATTAAAACCCTCCTCTCCTCAGTGCTTTTGCACAGAGTGGTTATCCAGACACGCTCATTCAAGAGAATTGAGTTGCGGGGAATGAAGATAACAAATGAACATTTACTATGTGCTTCCACTGAGTGCTTTACATGAGTCACGTTTATTTCCCACAACAACCTATAAGATGGGTATTATCAATGAGTTAACTTAGAGATGCTGCAAGATATCAAAGGCTGACTGCAGGGTGGGGGAAAGGGACGGCCTTCAGAGGGGCCTGATTGGTCAGCCTCAGCCAATCACCTGCATTTTGGGGTGGGCGGGGGCACCTGTCTTCCCCGCCGTCTTCCCTGTTACCTGGTGGGGCTGGCCGCTCCTGGTTCAGGATGTCGTAGGTCCTCCAGCTGTACTGAGGGGCAGGAGAGCCCTCCTTTGATTGGCAGGTCAGCTGAATGTTGTTCCCAATGATGGCCTCTCCCTCGATGCCGCACTCTGGTTTGGAGGGTAGGACTGTGTAGGCGAAGGACCAAAGAGAAGGCATGAATCAGGCGGGACTTGGGGACAGCCACCTCCTGCCCCAGAAATACACACATACTGCTTTGTTTGTTCTCAGGTGGAGAAGTTCATAGCCTGGTGGTGACAAATACTGCTGGAAGGTCAGTGCAGCCCGAAATGTCTCCTCCGTGGCCTGTCACCATCACAGAGAGGCAGTGCCACAGGAAGCATCCTGAGTGCAAGATTAGAGTCACCACTGTTATAAAGGTGGGTGACACTGAGGCCCAGAGAGAAGACTAGGCAAGAGCCTGGTGGGACTAGAACCCAGGTCATCTGACTTCCACTTCCAGTGCTCTCTCCACCAGCCCATTCAAGTTCCCCCTAATGTTGGCTCATCTGTGCCATTTTAGGGAAATCTTGCAATCCCTCAGTGTTCCCATGTGTAAGACAAGGGGACAATAGACTTTTTCTGTAAAGGGTCAAAGGTAATATTTTGGACTTTGTGAGCCACATTGCGCTCTGTCACTGCTTCGACTTTTTAAATAAAGCTTTATACACACAAAAACCATTCTTAGTTTGCAGGCCATGTATGAACCGGCCCAGGCTGGATTTGGCCACATCTGCCCACCCCTGGATTAGGGGAAAACCCCTCTCTCTGGAGCCCTTCAATTCAAACTTCTTAGGAATATTCCCTTTGTGTTAAGCATGACCCTTGTCCCATGTTTTGCTGATAAAACGCAACTGCTCGGAGCAACTGGGTGATTGGAAAAACCCCAGGGGGCAGCAGAGTTGCATTCTGGGTGGAAAATGAGGACAGAAGGGGGGGGTGGCTGGACAGAGAGGCAGAGACAGGGAAAGGGAAGCCTACAGAAAGGAGGCTCCAAAAACCAACAGCCCCCCTGAACTCAATCCTAACCTGATCTCCCATAATTCCTGAAGACCTTAAGCCGGTGTTTTTCACTCGGCACTAACTACCACCGTGTAGGGGGGTTCATTCTACAAACCATATTGGGCACCTATTATGTCTGCTACCGCCGGGCACTGGGACGACATAGTGAGCGACTTCCTGTGTTCAAGGAATCCGGTGGGGACGAGAGACAAGTAATTGGCCAATGACCAGGCAGGAGGCAAGGCTGCTAGGGTAGGGAAGGGACTCTGACCCCATCGCACCCTGGGCTGGGACCTGAAGGAAGAATGAGACTAAACAAGGCCAATAATGGAGATGGTGGTGGTCAGAGAGGTGAGGGCACTCCACACAGAGGGAACAGCATGTGCAAAGGCTCTGAGGCAGGAAGAAGCATCAAGTATGCGTGAGGTTTCAGGCAGTGTCCTTGGGGCAGGGAAGAGGAAGACACGCAGTGCAGAGGGCTATTACTGAACTGCTGTGTGGCAGGCCTGTCCCCTCCACCTCTTTCTTTAGACCCTTGCCCAGGAAATAGTGCTGCACTGAGTGGTCACGGAACGTGGAGACTGCCTTCCGGTCTTGCGTAGCCCCACCAGGAGTTGCTGGGGGAAGCTACCCAGAATGCACCTCTCCCTGCCAACCAGAACCAGTTTTTCTCTGAAACAGTCAGGGGGTTTGTAGGTGTGACCCACATCTCCTGCTGCCTTAGGGAGGGACAGCCAGGTGTGGGACAAGCATGGAACACATTACAGGTGCTCCCCTATGCCAGCCCGGTTGGACAGCCCCTAAACCTAAGAGGCCCGAAGTTCAAGAACAGGCTTCTTACATCTTGGTTCAGGCGCCAGGAATGAAGCAGCCCGGGAAGGAAGAGGCTGCTGCCTTCACCGCCCTGACAAGGAGCCCTCCTCTCTGCTGGCCCAGCAAGCAGGTACCCGGGG